GTTTACACCGCGTGCTGATAGTTAGCTGAAGATCAACTCAAAACGTGCTTACATTATCCCCAGAGAGTATGCTTCTCTTGTAGGGTTTCCAGGCTACGTGCAAGATGCTTTCATTAAATGTAACCTATTTTCACACATGAACTCTGGACATGTTCCCGTGAATCAGGTCTGGACATTTGCCCTTTCACACATGTGGCACACAGCCGGAGATTGTTCGTGTCAGACGCTTTGACACCTACTAGAAATACTCCAGTTGGTTCAGACGACGACTGGCGCTTGGGCTGATTATGCAGGAGGCGGGTCGCGATGCAAATGGTACGCTGCAGAAATGGCAGTGTTTTTACAGCACTACTGACAGAAGTTCTCAAATCTCCTCGTCTCTCGGATTAGCCGTCTTCGTTGGGGTCTTCTTTGCCCTCGGATGTTTGTATTCTTCTGTTTTCGCGCTAGTTGCATGATGGAAATGTCATCAACACACTCATTCTTTCGCGGTGAATTCTCAGGACTTCTCCCTGCTCCATTCACACATGGGAGTCAGTTGGATATTACTCAGACTTTGTATTAGGGGGCTTTTAGATTAAAGTTCATTTAATGTCCAGTATGACTGATTCAGATATTTCCGTTCACACACACAGCCCCTCTGGGAAATGTCTAGAAAAATTTAGGGTGGCAGTGTGTGTCTGAAAGAGGCTGCAGTGTGGTGAGTTACGCCATCTGTCTCAGTTGGCTTTTCAAAGCTGCTCATCTATGTTTCCCAACCCGGTCCTTGGGGACCCCCACACAGTACACATTTTTGCTCCCTCCTAGCTCCCTGCTAGACAGTCCACGTTTTTGCTCCCCTGCCTGGGGGACTCCTGGAGGACCAGGCTGGGAGACGGTGATCTAAGGTATGGGCAAGGTGACCCAGGAGTCTAAGCAAAGATGCACAGAGACGCATGTAGAACCTGGGCAGGAAATAAATCTAAAGGTCCAACCCCACAGTTTGATTTACTAAGTCACTTGTCATCCATTTTTATAATGTATAATATAAAATAATCAGAATTTGTACTGTAAGCTTTTTATCTCAGGAATGTCTTTATAGGTCTTGGGATGAGGGCATATTGGACTATCACTGTGACTGGGGGGGGGGGGTTGCATTTATGGTCTCCCTGGGGCACTTGCAATTGTGTATTTTTAAGATTTTCTGGTTTTGTTGCCAACCCTGAAGGTGATGTTTAGAAGAAGGTGTTGATGAGGTAGCTTGGGAGAGGAGTTCACACTTTCCGTGTGAAGCTCACATCTGTCACCGGCAGCGGGGCGGGATCTTCTCTGAGGAGCAGTGCTAACGGCCAGGCAGTTCTTAGTGCCACTCGGGAAGGAGATCTGAGAGCCACTGCCGTTTACGCACTGTTCTGGGATCAGTAACTGGGAGGCATTAGCTAGTTAATGCTGAATGGAGGAGCAGCAGTGAGGTTGTTCCTTGGTGCTGGTTGGGGGGCTTTTTGGGGGTGACGGCCTTGGAAATCCCTGCAGTCTGTTGCCTCACCCCCCTCCATCTTCAGCTGGGCTCCCCGCTTGTCCCGCCTGTTGCTCACATCACTTTTGCTCAGTTGTCCCTGGTGAATCTGCCTTCTCTGGACGTCTCCCAGGAGCCCGTCCAGGGCCAGATGGTGTTCAGACTGGGATCCTGTCCAACTCATGTCTTTTTTTTTTTTTTTTTAAAAAACATAATAAATAATAGGAAAACAATAAACAGAGTGTATTCAAGCCAGTTTGGAGGTCAGATAACAAGCAGAGGTGGAATTCTGGCTCAGCAGGAAATGGCTTTTATTGAGCTAACTGGTGTTTAGCTTAGATGAGCTGCACTTGTGTCGTTCGCGCCCCTCACCCTCGACCCCGACAGCTGCCATGGACACCAGCTTTTAATGAGGGTAGTGTTTGTTTCCTACTTCATGTGGTGCTTTTTAACAACCGAGCAGCTCCCTCAGGTTTGCCCGATCTGCTGAAGGGTCCAGCTTTCCGTGCGGGAGTCTTATGGAGAGTCTCCTCTGGATTCGGCAGGAGACGGGAGCCTTATCTGGCCCGATAGTGGGATTTATGTCAGCTGAGGGCGGCGTGAAGCAAAATAAATAGTGTAACCTTGTAGAGGTTGAACTACAGCGAGCGTTTAAATCTAAATCGCATGTGTCCGAGTGATTTAAAGACCTTGTCTTTGCGTTTTCGCTCCCCGAGCTGGTCGCGTTTGTCCGAATGGAGTATTTACAGCAGGGAGATGTGGATTTTTTGGCCTCGTAGCCCGTAACCCATGGCAGCTCACACTGTAAATGCTGTCGGCGGGGGAAACGTTTTGACAGAGGATCTGCATGACCTGCCGAATGGAAAGTCTGCGCAAATGGCTTTTCTGGGGCCTGATATCCTGCCAGATGACAGATGGGACAAAGGGGCTCCAACCCCTCATACAATCAGTCTCTTCCTTCGTGATTTCAGCCGGCATGGCGGTCGCCCCTCCGCCGGGCGCTTTGATCTGCTCTCGCAAAGTGTCTCAGGGCCACCCAAAGGAAGACGCCGGCTTTGATAAGTTGCTGGGAATCCTTCAATCATGTGTTTATCTCCGCAGAGATGCCAAGGAACTTGACAAGGTGCTTGCAGAGCCATTCTGCTCCGGAGGGCTTGGTGCAGCGCAGATGAGTCATGCTTGCGCTCGGCGGGATCAGATACATTCGTTACGAAATGCGAGGCTTCTGCTCCCGTCAATTAACCTCCCAAAAGTGCTGAGGTTCTGCGGGAGCAGATGCGGCAGCCGGGCGCAGCATCAGGCAGCCAGACGTCATTTCGCTACACCTTCTCTCTGACCTTTTGAGGGCACCATGGAAAGCGGTTCGCTGAGTGAGCTCTTTAGATCTTGAATTAGTGCATTTCAGAGAAGCTGTCTTCAGAAAGGCACTCGTGTCTGTGAGGCCCTCAGCTTCCTGCAGATCTGTGACTTCCTCATTGACTGTCGGGCATGTGGGCATTCAACCATTCCTTTTTTCAGCGAGAAAGCATGCCGCTGTAGATCTGGAACAGTAACACAGTGCCTCTGGCTGTCACTGCAGCGTAAGCCACAAGTTAGCCCAAGGGGGAGTCTTCTCTCATCAGGCCGAGGGCCTAGTCCTCTCTTCCGCTCGGCTAAATCCCACGTCGGCCAACTGTCACCATATTTGCATTTTTACAAGCCAGAAGAGAGATATTAAAGCAAAACTAATAACAACTTTGGATAAAATTCAGTTTTCGTGTTTTGTCTTTTCACTCGCAGGCGTGGCCAGACGATCCCTGATAATTTCCTCCACATGTCTCCCGTTTTCTGATGGTCTGAGCCCAAGCTTGCCAGATGGTGTTTTAGTCTTGCCTTTTCTTTCCTAGAAGGAGATGTTCGGTGCTGGAGTTGCACCCTCAGCCCGATATTCCATTGAAGTGCATTGGGCCGCCCTCACTACCTGATCTGCAGATGTGGCATTTGCTAATTGCGGTAATGGCACTGGCTTGCGGGAATAGTTCTGGGTGTCGGAAGCTCACGGAACCATGCGTCAGCTTGGGGTCCCTCTTCGGGCCTGTCAGTCTGATCCTAATTGATCCCGAAGCTGGCGCTGTTCGTGTTGATTTGACGTGGTTATTAGCAGCCCAGCGTGAAGAGGGGCACGTCATGCAAATGGAATCCTGTTACCCCCGCAGTCCTTCATCGCCGTAATGAATATTGATAGCGCGGTGCTGCCGTCGCTGAGTCGAGCTTCCTAAGGGGAAGGTTATACAAAGAGAATGTCTCCTGCCCGCTGCTCGTGTCATTTAGTTGGCGGTGCATCCCTAAAACATCTTTTCCGGGATAATCAGCTGCGTGACGGCGAGAGCGGAGCCGTCTGGCCCTGTGAGAAATTTAACGAGGATGTCGTTGAAGCCGGCAAGGCCGGTGTATCGTAATTGATGCCGATCTCATAGCCGCTACCAGCGGCTCTCTTGGTTATATTGTTATGTTGGCAGGCGTTTGATGAACGGATGCCGGTGTGTCAGGTTTCTCGATTGGCCGGAACCGTGTATGTGTCAGGTGTCTCGATTGGCTGGAACCTTGTATGTGTCAGGTGTCTCGATTTGGCTCAACCCTTGTTGTTGCGTATTCATTGAAACACACGCTCTGTTTGCTGCTGAAAGCTGCGACAAGACCTTTAGCTGCATGCCTTAGTGCTTTGCTGCTGTTTTGTTAACCCTAATGTAAATCACCATCTGGTGGCTGCGTGAGCCAATTATTTGATTATTCAGATTGATTGCCCCACAAGGGCTGGCTGAAGCTGTCTGGAATAATTTAGCCCCACGACTGGAAAACAGATGTTGAAATCTGAGCTAATAATCTCATTCCGGTGCTCCGTCCTCGGCTTCGAGTGGCAGTACGACCTGTCGTGCAGTCTGGCCGAGGTACTGTGGAGATTTCAGGATTTGTTTTCTGCTGTAACGCTTCTTGTTGGAATCTGAATGAGACTGACTTTACACATTGTTCATCATATCGAGCGGATGAATGGAAGTCTTTGGGTCATAACGGAACACCTTCTGTTAAGTGCTGCTGTCACGACTCTATTTAAAGTGCCTTTTATAATAGTTAACATAGAGCTGTTTTCAGTTCATTGTGCCAGAAGTGCTTATGTCCTGTTACCCCACACCCCCCATAAAAGAAGGTTTGTGCTGCCTTGAGTTCCACTGCATGAAGACAATAATCAGCACGTTAATAAGCTCATGAATGACCCACAGCTGATGTAGATCTTGTATAAGGTCCCTGATGTAGTTATTGCCAGACATTGAGGTTTCAGGTCCAGAGAGTACAAATCCAGACCAAGGTTTTGTTTCAACCAACCAGCTGAGTACTCTGACTGTAACTCTTTATGCTCAACTGGTTGGTTGAAACAAAACCTTGGTCTGGATTTGTACTCTCTGAACCTATAATCTCCACCTGTGGTTATTGCCTTGTGGATAATAAATTGTTGTGCATCTGCTTGCAGAAGAAGAAGGGAACCCTGAGGTCTCAAGAGAAGAAGTGGGAGAAGCAAATGGTGAAGAGGCAAAGAGAGGTGGAGAATGGCGTGGCCGTGGATGCCCCGGAAAACGGCTTCAACGAGCACAGCTCCAGTGTGGGGCCAGAGCAAGATGGTGGCAAGGAGCGAGCAAAGAGGAAGACGTACTCGAGGAAGAACAAGCAGGTCAGTGACGGGCTGTGGTCACTTGTGATTCCGACACTAGATATTCAGTCTTCATTTAGCGAGATAGTTTGGCTCGTACTTTCTGAGATGGGTTTTGGATAGTGGTTTCACAGGCTATTGTTAAACCCGTTTGATATAATTGTGGCCTGCAAGTCTTTGTGTGCTATGTCTTTTAGAAATATGATCTAAGTACCGAACTGGTGTTTTAATGCTGAGCTGCTCAGCAGTGAAGAGGCGAGACCATTTAGGAAACTAAGCAGAATCAGCAACCAAGGTGGAAACTGACCTGGACGTAATGAGTGGGATGGGAGGGAATCAGTGGGATGACAGTGATTTGTTGAGGGTCTGAAATGCACAGCCTGATGATCACCATGATTGTAGCTTTCAGGCTGGTGCAAACGCTGAAATCGACACAGAGGTTTTCATCCTGACGTTAGCCTGCCCCGGTCCCCCGGTGAATGTTTGAATATATACAGGAGTTCTGGGGATGTCAGTGTGTTGCTCAGTGGGTAGGAACTTTGTGCTCGTGCTGAGACGCCCCCTGGTCCAAATCCCAGGTTCGGCAGAGTGATTTCACTGTTGGGCCTTTGAGCAAGACCCCTAACCCCCAATTGTTCCAGGGACTGGATGACCCTCCTTTCTCAAAAACGTGCATCGTTTTGGATAAAAGCATCCAGTAAATATATAAAATGTAGGTAGTAGCACCAGCCCTGCTTCAGCTTATTTTAAGCACACAATGAGACACTCTGATCTAGAGCCTTTGTGTACTTTGAAGATAACCCTGTTTTTGTAGTCCTGCCATTTCCATGCTATCCATACATAGGATGAAATGACCCCGAACGGGTTACTCATGCTCCTTCGGGGGGGTGCAGGCGCTGACTGGACTGAGGTGGCTTTGGCTCCAGTGGTGTCTCCCTCAGATTCATGGTATTGACTCAGATGCAATGTTGTCTCTCTCTGGGAGTCGGAACGGGAATATCCACGTGGGTCAGTTTTATGAGAGCATGTTTTATCTCTGCTTGAAACATCCTCAACAGAAATGTAAACAGTAGATGTTACCACTGGTGTGGGTGTTTATAATCTTTAACTCACCCCTCTCCTCTTTGCTCTGACCATGTTCTCTTATCTGATAACATGATCGTGCTTCTGGAGAATTCTTGCTTATCTTGGCTAGTCGTTGCTTTTTTCCCATGGTTCAGCTGTCTGCCGTAGCTCCTCGAGCCACGCGTACCCACTGGGATGTTTACACACCCTCCGAGCAGCTGGTTGTTTACAGCGCCGCCCTGGAGGAGCCCCTGAGAATACCCTCATTACGTCTGATCCTTGGCAATTTCATGCAGAATTAGGGCATTGAGCTCCTGTCTTCTTCCGGTGGCAGAAAGTGTGCACTGGGGTGCTTTAAGCGTTAAACTCATACCTTACAAGTTCAGGGAAAGTTACAGGCTAAGAAAAAAGTATGAGGGTCGTGTCCTAATATTCAAGCATAATGTCACCCTCATTCATATTTAAAGCTTGTGCTCTCACACAGTGTTCCTGTCCGTGGGGGGGGTATTTCACCCAGTCATTCAGTGGAAGTGGCCCTCGATATACCTGGGAAACATGCTAACGCTAGCCCCCAGCCCGCACCGCCCCCCCCACCCGCTCCACAGTGTCCAGGTATCTTGTGTCCTTTCATAATCTCTCCGTCGCCTCTCGAGAAAGCAGAGGCACGCTGAGAGATTTCCTCGCTGTGTTAGCGCTTCTTCCTGACGCCGCAAAGTTTCTGCTCGACTGCCTGAGCTCGGGGCTTGCTGCCAGCTGTCTGCACCGGCTGCTTCGTTAGGAGTAACGGCGCCCCCTACGGCGCTGCCCGTCGCTGCCTTTCCAGATGACGGCCACAGACATGCCCACTTGAGGTGCGAGGTGTCTTCTGTGGACATTCGGAGCTGTGTAATGCAGCAGGTTGTGCTCTCCTGACATGGGCCAGACTTCTGAGAGCGCGCTAGGAATGCTTTTGGGGCGCTCAGCATATTTCGATACCTTTATAACACGCCCATGCGGTGCCACGAAACCATGAAAGTCTCCGTTTAGAAAAGGATTTGGTCCGAAGCTCAGTGTCCTCGTCTCCCGGTCAACCTGCTTGCATCCGGCACTTTGAGATCAGTTCCTAAATCTGTAGCTCTCATTTTCCCAAGACGCTACTTTGTTGTGTCATTCAGAGTTTTAAAGAGGCCCTCAAAAGGGAGGATGGCACAGCACAAATAAAGTGGGAGGTGAGTGTTGATGATGATGATGATGATGGTTCACATCCCAACTTACGCTTGCGCATAGAGGTGGGAGAGAAGACTGGTCAGAGATCAGGCTCAGCTATTTTTCTGGAGGAGTGTTTTCTTTTGGGTTAAGGGTTTTGCTCTGGATTCAGACCAGTAACCATCCAGATGCTGGAGTTAATGGCACATGCCATGACCATGAAAGTATAAATCAAGTGATTGCAGATGCAGATGAGGTACAGTGTGCGCGGATGCAGGTGAGGGACGGAGTGTGCAGATGAAGGTGAGGGACGGTGTGCGCAGATGAAGGTGAGGGACGGTGTGCGCAGATGAAGGTGAGGGACGGTGTGCGCAGATGAAGGTGAGGGACGGTGTGCGCAGATGAAGGTGAGGGACGGTGTGCGCAGATGCAGGTGAGGGACAGTGTGCGCAGATGAAGGTGGGGGAGGGTGTGTCTGGCCTGTGGCTGTGTGATTCTTCGGCGTTCTCTGTGCTGTATTCATTGCTGTTTTTGTTTTGCGGTTTCTCTTTAATCGTGGTGCTTGATGTTTCCGCTGCTGTTATTGTTTTTGCTCTTTGTCTTATTGCTGTTTCTCGTTCTTCCGTTTGCACTTTGCTGCCCCCTTTAGGGGTGATGTTCTTCCTGTTGCCGTTTTCGACCGACTGTTTCTTTTGTGACTGTCGTTGCCGCTAACGTTGTTGTTCCCGCAGGCTACTGTTGTACTCTATCCTGATCATTTGCTTGTTCCTGTTCTCACTGTCGCTGTTCCCGTAGCAGTGTCTGTCATTCGTTAGCATGATCGTTCTCGCTCTCGCTGCTCTTCTCGATATCCGGTCTTCCTCGGCTACAGAGGCCCCCTGCTGGCCTGATATTACAGGTGAGCTTGCAGGTAAACCCAGCTGAACCCACTGCTTAATGAGCCCTCTGATCTGTCAGACACGATTGGACGGTGGGGCAGAACGGAATCCAACAAGGGAGAGAGCATAACAGAATCTCATGAAATGTAAAAGCAAGGGAACATGTCCTGCGAGGGATTACTTACCTGTGACAATGACAAAGATGGTGTCAGTTACAGCTGAGTAATCCAGTGTCCAGCAGGCTATGCCCAGTTGGACAGGATGTGACCTGAAATGCATTCTGGGATTTGTTCTCTCGGAAGGTACCTGAGAACACCGTCGTGTAACCTTTCCTAACCTAGCCCTTAAACCTGAGCAGGCAGGCGACAAGCTTGTGTCGCATTGCTGCTGCGTGTGCAGAAGTCTGCTGCGATCAGGAGCTGTTAGCCAGGCGGAGGGGGCCGGTTCCCCTGGCTGATTAATGCAGATTAGCAGTCCAAAGGTGTTCAATGCAAAGACCTTAACGATTATTTGACTTTGAGCTAATTGTTAACAGGTATTTCAATGAACCATTGGGCAGCATAAGCCCCCCCCCCCCACCCCCCCGTCCGGAGAAATGGCCAATCTCCTTTTACAGACTCCCCTCCACCTTCACAGCAGGCTTTCCCCAATTATCCCCGAGCACCGAGACTTTGCCCATAGAGCTCAGAGGTGTGTTTGAAATGGGGAGGGGGTCCAAATTACCAGCTGTATCTATGGATAACGCAAGAAATAAGAAATGTGGCAAAGTTCTCTGAATGACGGGCTTTCCCTGAGTGTGAGGCAGCATTTCTGAGAAATGATTACATTTACATTTGCCTTTGTTTAGCAGAGACTTCTGTCCAAAGCAAAGTACAAGTGAGCCTGACAGCACGTTACAGGCACACATGCTGTGGAGAAGCCGGTGACGCCTAAGTGTGGCTGCGCTGAGCTTCCAGCCAGTGCCCAGTTACAAGCATTAGGGTGCTGTTAGAGTCTTTGTATTGCTGACTGGCCTGGCTCCGCCCCCCTCCCCCTCCCGCGTCCCTCTGGGGCCTCGGCCAGCGGCTCGCTGGGTCGGTGTCCGGAGCACGCGCCGGGCATGCGGCGTGCTGCCCAAAATGGGCGCTGGCGCTCAGTACCCGCGTGCCCTCTGTCCCCTGTCCGCTCGGGTGAACGCTCGCCTGCCTGGTAATCAGATTAATTCCGTCGCGCGCTGAGGGTGAGCTGCCCTCTGGGGGGGCGGGGGAGGTGCCGGATCTGTGTGGCCAGCCTCTTTCTCACTCTGCACTTTTTAACCTCGCGCTCTGGGACAATCAAGGAGAAAATACTGGGAATTAACGAGGTTACAAGGACAAGGTGCATGCTTATGTAAGGTCCACTGCCTCAGGTTAGGTGAGAGGGCCTTGGCGGGGGGGGGGGGGGGGTCTCATTGACTTTACCCCTCCGTTACACCTGCTGTATTGACAGCTGCCTGCCTTCTAGGTCAGCTGGTTTGTGGGCAGCAGTTATAGAGGTCATAAAGGTCACTGGCAGGGACAAGATGTGCCATGATGCCTTTTTATTGGCCGTGTGGACGTCCAATCAGACACCTGTAAACAGATAAGCTCTAGGTTTGTTTACATTCCAATCGATTCCTTCCAGTTGATAATTAATCATAAAAGGAATTAATTGTGAATGGAAAAACTGCTGTTGTCACGTGCTGTTTCGTCAAGTTAATACCTAAATTCAGGTGTATATAAAACGAGCACAGTGAGAGAGGTGGTTAGTGGGCCCAACATGACAGCCGGGGAAGCTTGTCTATGGGGTGCCAGTATCGCCATGGCTACGTGTATGTGGAAGAGACGGGGGGGTCTGTGCACTGGTGCCACTGTCTCTGTGGGAAAAGCACGATTG